ATGGCCCATGCTACATGGCCAGGGGCTGCTCTGACTTGCCACAGGCCATGCTCTCAGGGAACGGGTGGAGAGTGGGTGTTCAGGGTTGGCCCTCAAAGTCCTTGTGTGGGCTACCTGGCAGCAGTGGTAAGGGCTTGCAGGCCCGGGAGGCTGGTACCGGGCAGGCTGTGCGTGGGCATGCCTTATGGATGCCGGCAAGGGCTGCACCAGGTTTGCCCCTGGGCTTTCAGGAAAACCAAGACCTCAGAGTGAGCCTCTCTTCCATCTTGCCTAGGACCCCAGTGCCACTGAAATCCTGGGACAGGTGGAAGGAGTCCCTGGGGGTCGAGGGTCAGAGGTCTGCCTGGCCCCTGCTGTTGCTCCCTGTGCGCAGTGGGGCTGGCAGCACTCAGGAGGACAGAGGGGCTGAGGCAGACGGGGGCTTTCCGAGACAGGAGGTCCTGGGCTCAGCCCTCCAGGCACCCTCGCTGCCCTTCACCAGCCTGGGCAGCCTGTGGCCTGGAAGTTTCCGGCCCCTCCTCAGGCCGCGCTGCACAGACAGCTTCTTTATGAACCCACTTTTGTGGTGCGTGTCTTTCTCCCCATTACTGCTGCTTTTCATTTAAAATGTTATCTCCCCCTCCTGGCCTTCGTGCCCCCCCAGGGGGGAGAGGGGAGGCCCAGCCTCGCCCTGGTGTAGTCAAGGTTATGGTGATAAATCCTGGGGCATTGTCACTTCTATTCGGAGTAAATTGGCTGGCCGCTTTCGGGCTGAAGGAAAGATAATTTGCTGTAGTATTTCAAATGGATTAGAAATGGATTTGAAGGGAAAGTTCATGCCTCCCATTACAAAGGCGAGAAAGAGGACTATCTTAAGGCACTGTTCCCTCCTTGGCCTTCATTATCCACGCTTAATACCTTTCCTATTTTCCAGCGTTAATGAAATTTCCTGGCGGCGTGGGCCTGCCGGACGGATGGGAGAGGCCTTTAGATCTGCAGCTCCCGTTGCAGAAAAGGAATTACAGAGCCTTGCCGTGAGGGCAGATGCGCGCTCCGGGTCCTTGGCCCTGCCATTATCTCATTAATTTCATCCCCTTTCTCAATGCAGTTCATTTCCAAAGGCCATCCTCTCCATTAGGGTCACAATTTACTGGAGTGCTGTGACACCCACGGGCGTGAAAATGCTACAAGGCCCTCGCCCCACGCCCTCCCAGCACCCTCCTGCCTCAGGTTCCAAAGCCTGCCAGGCAGCCAGGGTGAGGTCAGGGGCGAGGGCAACCCCAGACAGTTCTCTGTCGCCCCCACCAACCTGTGCAGGCCCTGAGGTTCCACCACAGCGTATTCCCAGGCTGCAGCGTCTTGGAGTGAGGCTCCTGGGCTGGATGTGCTGAGCCCCGGGAAGCCCCCTGCCCCATTCCCGAGGCCCCGGGTTCTGAGGCGGGGGGCTGGGAACATTCTCAGGCGTGGACAGCAGGCACCGAGCCTGGGGCAGCTTGGCAGGGGCTGCCACACCCCCATTCTGCCCAGATCCACGAACGTCCTGTGGGTGCCCTCCAGCTCCAGTAAGTTGTTTTTTTAGGAGAGAAGAGAAGGGGACAAGCTAATTGTTCGTGTTCGTCCATAAGAATGAGCGGGGACATGGCCGCCACCGCGCCTAGCCAGCCCGAGCTGAGGGCAGCCCTGGTGGGTGGAGTGGTCCTAGAAGCTCCCTGACCCCCAGAGGCCCTGTGCCTCTGCCCCCACCAGCCCTTCCCTGGGCGTGGCCAGCCATGTATGAGAGCCACAAAGGGAGTGGGGGTGGCCTGTGCTCGTGTGAGCCTCAGTCAGGGGCACACTCGCGCAGGTGGGTCCTCGCAGGCCTGGGTTCCAGGCCTCCCTCCCTGCCGTCTCCGCAGGGCGTCCTGGCCAGAGGCGGAGAGCTGGGGCAGCTCTGCTGCCTGCCTGTCCCTCTTGCTTTGTGGTGGCTGGGGTTGAGTCTAGCCTGTGCTGTGGGCAGGGTCGAGCACGCAGGAGTGGGTGTTTTGTTTTGTTTTGTTTTTCTGAGTGGGTGTTTTTCCCGAGTGTGCAGCCACTCACCAGAGCCTGTGGGAAGGCAGGGAGCTGGGGGCTCCCAGGAGCAAGTTCAGGCTGGCCCTGAGTGGCCCCTCGCCCTGGCCCCAGTTGTGTGATGGCCAGAGGCTCTGTGAGTAGCCCGTGCGCCCTGGCCACCAGCCCCTTCACCCTCCCAGTGCTGCCCAGCCCTGGGCTGGCGTAGGAAGGAGCAGCTGCCCTGTGGGCAGTAGGACCCCTGAGGCCTCCGTGTACTGAAGGACTGGTGTGGAGGCTGTCCCAGGGGCCTGCCAGCATCAAGCTGAGCCAGCTGTAGTGGCCAGGGCCCTGGGCTCAGCCTGACGGTGGGATTTGGGGTCAAGCTGAGTGCCCCTCAGGCAGTGGCCATAGCTCTTGTGGAAGGCCAGAACCTGCCTCTGAGCCCCCAGGGCTGACAGGGTTCTCCAGCTGAGGGGCTGGTGCAGGAGGTCCCGCCCGGCCTGGCCCTCCTCCAGGTCTGGTGCCAGGGCAAGGCGAAGGTACAGAACATGCACCTGCTGGGCCTGCAGGCGCCCAGAGGCCAGGGCTGCACTGGGACCCCAAGGTCTGATGAGAGGCTGGGGGTCTGAGTCTGGCTGGCAGGACACACACCCCCTGACCCAGACAGTGCCCGGCGGGCAGCTGGAGTGTGCAGGGCACAGACAGGATGGGTGGGAGGCGGGGGCCAGCAGACCACTCAGCACTGCTAGACCCCTTGGTGGGCTCTTTCCCGCCAAGATTGGTGTTTGTGAACTCGAATTGTAATTAAAGGAAACTGGGTTAAGTGCTCTGGCGGCCGTGCTTGTACTTACACTGCAGCTCCAGTCCCTGGGGCCGGACTCTCTCTGCTCCCATTCTCTCTAATGGGCCCTTGGAGGCCCCCGACTGCCGAGAATTACCCCAGCTTGCAGGCGGAGAGACCAAGGCCGGGAGGGCTTGCGATGCTGAGAAGTGGGGATGACGGCTGAACCTGACAGCGGGGCTGCCCCATTCCCAGTACCCCCCAGTCTGTGGGCTCTTCGAGGGCGGCTTTGATACCCCCAGGGCTGTTGGCTCCTTGAAGGTGGCTTTGAGGGCTGTGCTGCTGTCCGCCTGCACCTGCCCCATCCAGCCAGACAAGTGAGCCCTACCTTCATGCATGCTGCATGCCTGGGTCTAGGGGTACCCCACCCCGGCCAAGACCAGCTGGAAAGAGGTCTCCTACAGCTGTGGCAGGGTTGGGCCCTTGTACTCCACAGCAGAGGGGCCTGTGGCAGCTGTGGCAGGGTTGGGCCCTTGTACTCCACAGCAGAGGGGCCTGTG